TAACGAGGCACGATAGTGATAATAAAAAAATTACAATGCAAAAATAACCAATGAGGAGTGCAATAAAAAAAACGCTAGACCGTGCCAAAAACAAAATAGGCCAGACAAATCAACGCAAGAGAACAAAGGTACTAGACAAAGTAAGAAGTGATACTCGGGCTCACCAATTTTGTAGGGATGCGTGTTACAATTCCGTAACGTTTGATCAACCCTACTTAATTTGATGTGCTCTAGTACCTGCTTAACCAGTACTTTACCTAACGTGTAAGTACTGATAACAAAACACAAATCAAAAGAACTGATACGCAATGTATTTAAAGGAGCTATGTATTTAATTAAGGTAAATGTAATAATAATGAATGAGGGAAAAGTTTAATCAACTTATCTGGCTTGTAAGGCTGAACTAGGGACTCGGAGTACGTGCGTGGTAATCAGCACAATGGAGCGCAAAATGGCGTCCAAGCCTGCTCGGATGCATGCTCGTTAAAACAAAACTTAAAACACCCTAAGCATCCGGAGGCAAGCTAGAGATTTATTTAGTTAATTTAATTTAAACTATTTATTTTAGCCTTAGTTATATTTTGGTGCCAGGATGGTGCACTACAAGGCGATGAAATATAATATTCCACCAAGTTTATTGTTTTTTCTACAAAACGACTTCATGAAAATTCTGAATTAGTAGTTTCCTATTAGGTGTAAAACCTTCAGATATGATGTGAAAAGTGAAGAATGAGTCACTAAATCCCTCCTGTTTTTCTTTGTCAAATATTTATCACTGGCTTAAAATACTTCTGTCTAGTAATTTAATTTCGGTCATCATTTCAAGTGAGAAAAGTTTCAGCCTAAGTTTTGATAAGGTGGGGATGTGAAAAAGCAGTTTCACTAAAGGTATGGACATAGAGTGTTTTAAACCTTAAGAGATTGTTTCCATTGCATATGACTCAGCAAGTAAAAACCAGCTGGTCACAATTGACTCAAAATAGCTATCCACCATTCGAAAAGCTATTTTAACAGAAATTGATATATTCTCAGAGGTGAATTATTTCAAGAAAGGATGTAACCGTGTTGTATGTGATTAAAGAGAGAAAAATGGACCCAGAGACGTCAGAAATTCGTAAATGATGATAAATGAGAGTATTAAATCCACCTCATGACTGGTTTTTGAAAATGCCATACTAAACTGAACCGGAGTTTCTATTAGTAATCATAGTACAAGAAGTCGTCACTTGAGACAGGAATTCCTACATGTATGGAAGCATCAAAATAATTTTGAAGCATATTTCGCAATATGTCATGAGACTTTCCCAACTAGCCTTCTGAAACTACGATATATTAATCTCTGATGGATAAATAGGGTAAGGTTGGTAAACATGTTGAAACTCTAGAAAAGAAACGGTAGTGAATAATCATATTGGTTTTGGGTTATTTAACATTACTTGACAGTGGTTTAGTACAGATTGCTCTGAATCATCTCTTGAATGAAGCAAAGGGTAAGCTGACAATACTGAATAAAATGAACTGTTAAAATGATTCCGAGTAACTTCCAAGAAATCTATAAACCAACTTTGAAAAGCAAAATGTTCAGAATGAAAACAATGAGGTTACTGTTGACCTCACCCATAATTTCAAAGCAAGAGCTCAGAATTGTCTCTCTGTCAAATTTATTAATTCTTTAGCAATCAAGAAAATCACAATTCTTATGATTACACACCTTTCCTATTGTTAGTTTGGCGGTATGACGTTCGAAGTGATTCACGCATAACCATGTCTAAGTAAAATTTAAACTGAAGTCTCGATAAAACTGTATCATTCATAAATTGTATTGTGCCATATTTTATTCAGAGTTACTAGGTTTTGTGGAGGTGATACCTTCTAAAAATAAAAATGGGGAATACAAAATGTAGCAGTTATTATATTGCATATCCTCAGCCCTTATTATTGGTTACTGATGGGCACTGCAACAAGGTGATTCACAGTAGTGAAGTAAGGAGCAAGTAACTTCTCTTGTAACAATTAGTTTTGCTAGCAAAGGAAATTATCTAGACTAATAACCATCAACAATGATACTCTACTGAAGCTCATGTTGAAAACAGTAATTTTAGAAATGACGATGGAAATTCAAAACCAAAAAAAACTCAAGACCTGAGCTCATAAAAATCCCAGAAGGTCACTAGTAACGGGTAGTAGTGAGGTCCAGGACGCACGTTTCGTCCTATTTAGGACTCGTTAGCTTGATGTGTGTGCTTCCCAGTGGGTGGCGTTTTCCCCGTTAAGCATAAAAAAGTATACCCATCGTACAAATGAGTGGGTATCGCGACTCAGTGGATAACGATCTAGCACTTGGTCCTAGGCTCCGATCATAGTGGGAACAACATCACTCGCTGGGATGCACCAACAGCCAGCTGATGAGTCCCAAGTAATATAAAATGCATGTCCTCGATTCCACTTCTAGATACTATCATCCACCAACAATACCAAGACGTCATATTTTTAAGGTGGTGGTGACAGAAATCTCATGCTGTGAAGTGCAGCATGAATACCTAATAGAAGTAATTTTGCAGCCTTTAATTTGCAATAATAGAAGTTAATATACTTCCACCTACTACGATCGATCAAAAGAGTTCAAGATTCGTGACTTAAAATGTTGACAATGGATATGATGTTTCGACATATTTATTGGCGTATGACCCCATGCTGGACACAAAGACATACGAACGCTGGGTACGCCACAGAATTATGAGTACATTTTTGATGAAAAGTTAACGCACAAGTATAATACACCAATTCATCCTACAAAAGAAACTTTTTATTAATATATTTAGTGCCACATTATATTAAAGAGGAAACTTTTAGACGATAGATCGATAGGATTACCTTTTAAAAGACACATCTCTTATCGGGTTCGCGGAAATAAACTCCAAGATCCTACAAAAAAATAATGCTGGAATGATTTATATGACCGACTGTTCTACCCCCTTACTATAGACAACCTGTAGGTCAATTTTTGATTTATTGTAGGCATACTCAAAAATAAAACAAAGTGAAAGCGGATTACTGTCTCTCAAAGTTCAAATAAGGGCACACAACGCAGAAATCAATCAAAATTGACACAGAACCAGGGATTACTGTGTAATGGTTCAAGTTGCCACACTTCATATCAGCACATCAAGTAAAAAGCCAATAAAATAGAATAGGAAGAAAGAAAAATTGGCCAAGATAAGTAGAAAGTAATAAAAGAGAGGAAGGAGAAAATGATGAGACCAAGTATAGCGGTTAAAATGTGAATAATGTGTGTATGCATCTGCGCTACTGACATACATCTGTTCTGAGCCATATCGCCTAGATTCTTCAACCACTTGTTTCTCTTATCTCCCGGGCCCCAACCCGTTAGTCTCTATCGCCCTAAAAGGCTGAAACGAACAGTCAAAGACTTCATGGATTGATGCCGTGTTTTAGTCTGGCCATCCCGAGCCTTTTTCCATCCTGAACCTACTTTGGTCAACATTGTGTGACGAGACAGATGATGGTTAGGCATACGTAACATATGCCCCAGACATCTTAGTCGATGAGGGTTCGCAATCACATCAACTACCTTACCTCTCCTCCTTAAAACTCTACGTCTGACTTCTGCACTACTCAAGTAGTGAAACCACGAAACACGGCCTATGATACGAAGGTAATGGTGGTCAGACACCTTAAGCCTTCTCATGTCTCCTGCCTTTAATGGGCATATTTCACAGCCATACAGTAGAACAGAGCGGACAGCAGCATAGTACACTCAACCCTTAATAGACAATCGGATATCGCGGTGGCGCCACAGTTGGAGTTAGTTGGCAAAACCCAACTGAGCCTTTTGTATCCGTGTAAAGATTTCGTCGGCCGCTGAGCCACCATGGTTAGTGCGACTACCCAGACAAGTGAAGTGTTCAGTGAACTTAACTGTCCACTGCTAGCCAGGGAACCGTTGTAGATCGATTTAAAACAACATATCATGCAAAATCATTCATAGTTAAACACAATTTATGATGACCACATTTGTACACACCTAGCGTAGCTGAATTCAGCAAAACAATAACACGATAAAACTATGATTATTTTATAAGTTCCTAAATTCTTCCATACATTAATTAAGTTAGTGACATAATCTAAAAAGTTAAACTCAGTTATAAATTATTCATATTGTAGTTTTAGCAACAGTATGACTTCAATGAAGTTACACTTTATTAACTGGAGGTAACCGTAAACACTAATCGTCCTTAGAAGAATGTCATACACTCTACACAAATAGTAGAATAAATACTTGGTTTTTTTTGTTCAAGTGATAAGAAGTAGGACCGCATGGAAACAACCGACTTTAAAAAAACTCATGTGAAATCAGAAAACAGTAAATGGTGATGATTTTGAATACTGATCGGCGGTGAACAGTATATTACTGAGCCAAAATCACAGAAAAAAGAATAACACTAGACTGCTAAGATGCAGCACCTGCATTTCACTGTAAATTTCTAAATAACGAAAGTTACATAGAAGGATAAAAAAGGCGGAAAATTCCATTGTCAACTGCATAATTAGGAAGATCATACTACGAAAACAACACGAAACAATATCGAATATGTTGTAGAATGGGAAAATCCATAAAAATTGAGTTGCGGAATTTAGTAAGAACTTACCTAATATGGAAAAGGGTTAAATAAAAGTGTACTTTTATAAACAAAACCACTTTTAGCATACAAAAAAGAAAACGGAATAGTTCAGTTGACGCATTTCATATATATATATATATATATATATATATATATATATATATCATGCACTATAGCACAAAAGTTAATTATGCAATACACAGTGCTCAAGCAGAAATTAGAATTATAAATATAATTGTAAAAGACAGTTGGGTGAGTTGTTCCCAAGGGAATGAAAGATGCTACAACTTTAAAGTGCAACATATTTCCACTCTGAAAAGAGGTATAGGATATTTTACCAGCTGAAATCGTTTCATTTTACGAAGTGACGACTTTTGCACCTGGAATCTTGGAAATAGTCTACAGAAAGGTAAACAACAATTAAAAAACAGTTTGTCAGGGAAATAAAAAACACATTTATGTGGTGGATAGTAATGAAATTAGTTTTTAGGTATGTTTATCATAGATATCAAGTAACAGTGAGTGAGTGCCTTGGCTATTTGCGTTTAACAAGTCATATTCATAAGACTTATATGCGCATTTAACATCTTTTTACAGCTTCCACTTCATTCTGCTTATGTAAGGTATGGCCAATCGCGAACACAGGTGTATTACATCTGAAGATGCTTCTATCTGTTCTGCGAAATATGTTAGAGGAAGTATATATCATAAGATAAGTTTCTGAGGAAATCGGATTTGAAAGGACAATAAGTTTACCTGATCTTCATGCCTGGCTACTGTGACAATTGTCTATAGGTAAATATACCTACAAGATACATCGATAAGAAAATGTCTAATAGATAAATCATGCATTTCATCGCTTGCTTTACTCTTGTTGAACCTCATAAATTCAAACTAGTACTTACCATACTGTTTATGTGACTCAATTGACTTTGATGACATTTGGGATAAAAAAAATCTAACGCGTCATCACCCCAATCATTTGTAACTTTACAATTCTTAACAAAAAAATGTAAATTTACTCTGTACTACCTACTGATTATGCTTCAAGAGAAAATTGAGGTGTATTTTAAGCTTAGGTAGCGCCCAAGAAATGAACTTCGTGTCTGAATGGGGATATCGACTTAGACCATCAACGCATAATTATGCGGCAACAAATTAAAAATTAACCGTAATTTTTGAAATTACTAAGATTTCATAATATACAAAAAAAACTCAGCTATGAGCACTCATCAATGAACAAATACATGTCAAAATGAGAGTAGTTGTCAAGCTTTACCACTATTTAGTAGGAAAAACTATACGCTGCATCGTTCAACATCCAACACTATACATTACGAAACACCACATTCCATAGCAAATATACTATATAAATTCGATGAGTTTTCATCAGTGGATGTATGAAATGAATTTAATACTCCACTTATTTTGCTGGTTACTTCAATCTCCTTGCAAACATATTCTTCCGTTCGAAGCATATTTGGATATTTTCTATTTCTATACGCAGAAATAGACAGACAAAGTCAACACAGAACCTTGCACACAAGTGTATCTGTTCAAGATACCACACTTCATAGCAGCATGAAAGTAACAAGAGGACAGAAAACCGATGTTAAATAGACACAGGAGAATGGGTATGAAGACCAACATTAGAGGAAATATTCAGGCTTTAGATGTCAAATAGTGAATACATCTGCGACATAGTAAACGATTCTCAGTAATCTCACCAACGGTCCCCAACCAATGATCCTACGATCTTGAGGACCCCAGACAAGCAGGCTACATCACCCTACACGGCTCAAATCAGTAGTCGCAGACTTCATCGGCTGGTGCCACGTTTTGGTCTGGTTACCTTAAGTGCTTTTTCAACCCAATCCAACTCCTCCCAGCAGCGCACGTTGCGACAGACAGTGGTTCGGCATGCATGACACATGTCTGAAACACCTCGGTCGCCGAAAGTTGACAAATTCATTGACTGGCTTGTCTTCCTTCCCTAATACCCATTCCCCAACCTCGACATTGATCACAAGATGATTCCAACATAGCCAAGCAATGGTGCGAATACACTTAAGATCAAAAACCTGTAATGGTTTCATATATCCTACTTCCAATGGACATGACTGCAGCGCAGTATGCCGATCATCACTTAAGAGGAAGTTAGAAGCCTCGCCAGTTGACGCAAGTTGGCAAATACCAAATGGGCCTTCTGTATCCGATCTGAGATTTCGTCGGCGACCACTGCATTCGGGATGGTACAACTCCTCAAGTAAGTGAGGTGGTCGACACATTCCACCACTTCACTCCCCATCATCAATCTGGTCGTACTTGCAGCCGACCAGCCTTGAAGCATCATCCTACATTTGACAGGTGCGAAGTGAATGCCAAACATACTCAGATTTATGCTCGAAACGTCCAGAAGTCCCTGTATTTTGTCAGCGTCTTCACCTAGTAGGACATGTTGTCTACATACTCCATGTTAACCAGATAACCTTCAGGGAATAGCCCAATTCCTATGAAGTCATACGTACGTGTCCATTAGTACGTCTATGGCGAAGTTAAATAAAAACAAAGACACTGGGCATCCCTGGCGCACACCGCTAGTTGTCGTCAATTCATGTAACAACTCTCCATAAGCCCTCACACAGATGCATGAGTTCCAGTAGAGAGCTTTGATTGGCGTTATATATTTGCTCGGTTACTCTTATTAGTAATTCTCTAACCCCATTCTTAAAAACGTCGGATAGAAAGCCATCACGTTCTGCTGCTTTGCATCGAGGACAGTTGGATAACCAATACCTACGTCTCATTCCGGTTCAGGTTGGGTGTTGGGCAACTGAAGTGTCTTCTTGTCATTATCGTTAATAAGCGTAAGTAATTGCCGGGGACTACCTAATGCTGACGCCTTCTTCGTTTCTCTCGCTTTCGTCACCCACCACTGCTCGAGATTATTGCAAAGACTCTTGGTCAACTTACGTTTAAGTTGCTTTCGCCTCTCATCATGGTGAGAGCCTGTTAGAATAAATTTTATCGCACCAACAAGTTCCAATGATGTTGCGGAAATCCAATGAAGTTCGCTAACCTTCGGGTGTAGGATACCAATTGCCTTTACCTCTGTTTTTACAACTGACTTAATATCACTTCAGACTTCCTCGGGATGAGGATTACTATCAAGTTTAAATAAACACTTAGCTGTCTCCTCTCTAAATACGCACTTCACGTTCTCATCTAATCGAATAAGACGAGTAAAGCGCAAATATATACATGTTCGTACCAACGCGGGATCAGAATTCGAACAGTAACTCTAAGAATAACCGCAATCTCTTATCGATCATCTCCGGCGGTGGCTCTTAACAATATGATATATTTGTATCCATCCTTGGTTTGGTGTCAGCGGACGCTATGCGAGTCATTGTCTCTCCATATACTTGAAGCTAGTGCTGGTCAGAAATAATGGAACGAAAATTCAACAGGCGATCATCGTTGTCGGCTTGTTGGCATGGAATTATGTAGGTACCTCAAACACACCTTTCCGATTGCCTCAGCTTTCCTACCTGAAAGTTGAAGTTGCTCGCTTTTATGTCTGTATCTGAAACCGAAAACTTTTGATAGAATTCATTCTTTGCATCATCCGAACTGCAGTCGGTAGGCGCGTAGGTGAAGATTACGAAAGGGTATCGGTTGATCTCGCAATCCTTCCTAGTTCTTACAGACCCGTTCGTTCTTAAAGTACACAGACGGTTGTTGACTAGCATCCAGTCGAAAAGTGAACTTTTTGTTGGACAACTTAATGCTGCTGAATCTCTAGACACTCATATAGTGAATTTTGAAGATTCATTGCATTCACCAGGTAAGGTTAAGTGAATAACCGGATTTGAGTTTTGTATGTGTTTCAAAAACATGCATTCATCACTCGAGGTTTCAGAGTTTTAGCAAGAGATGTCTGCTGTCCGTTGAAAGCTCCAATATGAAATCGACAGTTGGGTCTTGGGAGACCAGGTATGAGGTTCCAATGGTTTGGGTCCTTAGCAATCATCTCAGAGTGAGACGGTGAGGAATTTGTCAGAAGCTTAATAATAGTATCAGGAAGTGAGGGCAAAAAAGAGATAAATGTGAGGAGGATATGTCGTGTTTGATTGGATCTTCTTTACTACTGGAAGCGTGGGGGCGGTTGACACTTCCCGGTTACCCACAACGTGGAAGGCTATTTCTTGTTAAGGCACCTGAAAGAGAAAAATATTTGTGTGACTGCTTGAGGCCTGTCACACGCAGCCTTTTCAGGATTTCTGATATAAGATTTGATTATTTTAACGCCGGGTAGGGAAAACCCATACGGTCGGTGCCGGAAAATCGTGGGGCAGGATGGAATGTGCTATTTTGGGGGCTAGTCCTTCCTAATCCCCCTTGCAATAGGAGAGGCAGCACCAGTGTGTTGCCGCTAGTCATCCAAGAGAAACACGTTGATGCTGTCAAACCCCACTCAGCTAGCAGCAGTACGAATTCGCCGTCAGACCTCCATCACAGTTTAGCAATTTGCACTACATGAGTAAGTGCTTTTTGTCTAACCACTGTGCAAAAGACCTTTGTGGCATGGTACGACCTTGAGGAAACAAGCATTCCAGTCAGTGTAGCTTGTTAGGACATTGTGATATACAAGACCGACCACCACTTCAAAATTGAAATTCTCGAGTGCTACAAGCAGATAATTTACGAAAAAAATACTAGATATTTTAAATACTATTATCTCAGTTAGCCTAATGATTTAAAAATATACCTATTAAGCGCTGAAAAATCCTCTAGTTGTTTTATACTAACTAAATCAAGAATTTTGAAACTGGACAACTTTACTGTCTGATAATTAAGGGAAGGGATTCACTTGGCCTAGTAACGCTGTGGTGGTCAACTTGATGTGCGATGGAACTGATTTCCAGGAGAACACCAATATTCACTGGAGATGCAGTTATGTGGTTGTAAGGGAAAGAAACGTTCATCATCGATTCCACTGTTAGTTACTAGTGGTTAATACGCAGCAGACTCATTTAATTGCCTAGTTTCGAGCTTGTGAGAGAAACATTTAATTTGATCCTAAAATATAACATTCATGGGAAAGTAAGATTTATGTATACGACTGATCACCTCAGCGTCAGACTATAAAAATGACTGTTCAATATTAGAATCACTGACATCTATTTCATAAATGACGATGAGAAGTGAAAGGATATTTTCATCAGTAGCAAAGACCAAACAAAAGTGGAAAATTAAATTACGCGGTTTAAAAAAAAGTGTAGTTTATTACAATGATAAAAAAGAAAAAGTAGAATCATTACCTGACTAAGATCAACACTTGTTAGGGCTCGAACTGCGTGAGGAACGGTACCTACTAAGGTAGCGAAATCTTTGCCCAGACTAGTTAGGTTCGTTGAATCTCCATTCGAACCATTCATTATGACAATCTCCTTAGTTTTGCTTAGTGGAGCTGCAATTTCGGCAGCTATTTGAGGCAATGTTTCCAATATGAGATTTAAGATAGCAGCATCACCGTATTTATTATAAACTTCAGCTCTTAAACGCATTCTTTCTGCTTCTGCTCGTCCAACAGCTTCCATAGCCTCAGCTTTAGCAATACCTTTCAGACGAATGCCGTCAGCTTCAGCTTGAGCTAAAAGTATTTTCTGTGTTCTGAAAGTTATTTTAGAGGAAAATATACATAATTTTTACTTAAAGTTAAAAAAAAACTTTTTTAGTGGATTGATATGAACTTGAACTAATGGTTAAGTCAAGTAAAATAGCTAGAACAAAAGCAATGATGAAAATAACCTAACCCTTATTCGAATTTCCTTATAAACTACAAGAATTTTCCAAAGGTTTTCTGTATATTTCCCAGTTTTTTATGTCATAAAAAGGTAGAGAAATGCGAAGAATGTGAATCGAAACCGTTGAACAAATATTCATAAACTAGAATGACTTTTATGAGGGTCAGAAGGACCATTATACTTTAGTGTTTTGATTCAAACTGTCTTAACACTGAAATGCAGGCATCATAAACAGCTGAAGAATTGTCCTTCCTTCTTGAATTGAATTACAAACTTCAAGGTATTCTAGAAATTGTATACGACAACGAAATCTCGTGACTACTGTAATTGTAGTTTCAGTAAATTTTTGTATGTATTGACAATTCAACTCTTGACATTTCTGCCTTAACTCAGAATGTGATTCGTCTGAGTAGTAAATCTTCCAGAAATTCAATCTTCAAACATGAAGTATTGGTACATGAGGAAGGTTGTTCAGTCAGTGATTTTGTAGGTCCAAGTATTTAGTAGACATTTTTCACAAACTGAGTAGATTGAAGGGCTGTGATTAGAAATCAAATGGTACTAGGTTAAAATTATTAATCCAAGGAAACACCTCTTGAAAAAATAAGTTTAAAACTGATTGTGTTGAGTCATTAACTAGAAGACTGGTAGTAGTCACTTTTTTCTACGAACTAGGAAAAACAATTTCACTAAGCAATATTTTTAATTTAATTTGAAAAAGGATTAAGTACTCGCTGTAGATATTTAAAGGTGTATTCTCAACAAAAGTCAAGCACTATCCAGGAATTTCATAGTGGAGTGAAATGATTCACCTAATCAATGGTTTTAAACTTTTCCTTGACTCTCCAAACCCCATAGAACTGTTACCGAAATTCATTTCAGAGTATCATTCACTACTTTATGAACAAAATTGAGAGCTGAGAAGATTCAAATCAACCAAATGGTGATTTGTTGGATTAATGGATATCACAAAAGTTTTTAACAAGGACTAACATTAGTTGAAGGAGAAGTAGGAGTGTGAAAATAGAGAATAGTTGTTTTGCTACCATTTAGGACTTCTTGTTAGTTCACACTCATGACTCCACGGAGGACTGATTCCATATTATCAGATGCCATGTAGAGAACATCATCAATGATCCACTGGGTTGTAGTTCAGTGGATCACTTCCATTAACTCATGATATAGGGCGGACATTCTTCACGAGACCGTGGGTGTGAACTTTCTAGGAGTCTGAAAGTAGGCAGGAAAATATCCCCAGTGTTCTTTATTCACCATTTATCCTCTGATTGATGTTAGTCTGTGATTACAACTACCAAAAAGAGTCAAATAGATTCACTCTTTCATAGTTTCCTTTGGAAACAGGCCAAAAAGGTAAGCTTAGATAAGACTGCGGCTTATCCAACGTTTCTCCTTGACCATTACTATTATTATTATGACAGTGACTATTTTATCATGATTACTTTCTCCACACCCACTGTTACAACTGTTGGACCTTCCTTCCAATTACCTATAAATAAACAAACTTCGTTACATTTATTCGCATTGCTAACATTCTTCAACTGATTTTCGCCTGTTGTACCTATATTTCCAAATATACTTGGTTACTTTGTATTAACACAAAAGTATGTTTCTCATTCTATCCCATGCTGATTCTTTATTTATTCCAGGCTGTTTGCAGTGGAGGAGTCGTGAAACTAGTATGAGCTCACTGTATTTTGCAAATCTTGTTCATTTTGCCTTGATGAAGACTGGAGTTTATATAAAACAAAATATCGTAAGTAAACCCGTTTAGGATAACTTACCTATACCCTTCAGCTATTTGCTGTAATCGATAGGCTTCTGCTTCAGCTGGACGTCGTATAGTAGCATCCATACTCTTTTCGCTACACAAAATGCCTTTCTCTTCAATTTCAATTTGTTTACGTCGTTCTACAATATTAATATTTACTTCTTCTGTCCTAATCTTTTGTCGTTCTTTGGCAGCCTGAAAATTGTCAATAAGATGCAATTACACTTGACGCAACGTTCAATAAAAAAAAGCGGAAAAAAAGAAACGCAGATTGAGTCACTGTAGTGAAAGTCAAACTCTGATGAGAGCTACAACCAATCAGAGATGCTCGGCAACGATTCATTTACTGGCATCAAAGTCCACTAATCGTTCACTAGATTCTGAATACTACTTATCATATTTGAGAGATGGTAAATAAGACGAGTTAAAAATGCAGTGCACGACATCTAGACATTAGGTGTTTTGGAGAAGTACTGACTGAATAAAAATTTCATACCCTTCAGGATTCATCAGCAAAGTTCTTCCAGAGATTCAGATATTGCTTGTTCAACACTAGACTTACAGAATTTACCACATAGATGATCTACCCTACAAAATGCTTAATGACATGATCAGTAATCCGATACTACAGTATGAAAATGACTATAATTACAAAATCAATTATGATAGTAGTAGTAATGATTGACTGACTGACAGACAGACAAAATAACATAGAAACTCGCACACCGGTGCATCAGCTCGAGTTGGCACACTTCACAGTAGTACAGAAAGAACGGGAGGACAGGAAAAGAGTGATATCAAAGAAGATAAAGTATTGAAAGAGAGTAAACAATCTGAAGATAAAATTCAAGCTTTATAAGATGTCATGGAGTGAATACATCAGCACCATTGTGACCGATTTTCAGCCATGTCAATTACGCTCTTTAAAATATCAAAATTGTCAGAAATGTCTGGTTCTCAGTCAGATAGTAAACAAAAAAGGGTACATTTTGATAAGTTTTGAATAACACAGATGAATCTGCTGTTCTTCAGAGATAAGTCAACAAAGGCATTATTATTATTAATTCGTACACAAACTACGCTTTGAACTATAATGGTGTAAAGGAGATGAATGCAGCTTGTAACTGGTGTGAACTGTTTATTTAATGGTCAGTATAACAAACATACGCTTACACCAAGTCTTCATACACCTTAGAGATATTCAACAAATAGAAATAAACCATTAAACAATAATAATCATGAAACCGACTGTGCCTACAGATGCAAGAACACATCCTTATTTTTGAGATGAATGGGGAATTCAGAAGTAGTATTCATCACGGAATGACATCAGTTGGGGAACCATTGGAAATCTGGGAACACTGAACAGCTATTTCGTCCTAGTATGGGACTCCTCAGCAGTACGCAACCACGACCCGGTTGGGGATCGAACTCAGGACCTTCAGGTTTCACGGCGAACGCGTTAATCATTCAGCCGCTGAGTTGGTTTTCGGTGGTTCACACTTTCAAACTCCTGTCAATTCACGACGTAGCGCGACTATCACCCAAGGTTTTTAGTTAACATCCGCTTCACTTCCGACTAGTTGACCCCACATGTCACGACTTCTCATTAGAGCTTCGTGATATCCATCTGGAAGCATGTCACCAATGAGCACCATGCAGGAATGTATTTTTGATGTATCATGTATTGTAATGTCTTATTACCATACAGATCTTGTTAACGAAGCATGTTGAAGGTGCAATAGTTTGAGCTTTTTCAGAAAATAATAGCCAAACTATTAAAGATAACTTTAGGTTATAAACATTCGGACCATAGTTGTTCTGGAAGAAGTGAGCGCCAAGTTATATTTAATCATTATATAAGCAAACTGTAATATAATCCTAGGACGTTTAGAAAATGAAAACAAAATTTTTCCTAACATCCCACTGTGTGTGCCGCAGCTTCTTCAGTAGAATATTCGGATCATTATCAGGCATCAAAATATCAAGGACAAATGCTATATGTAGCAATTTGTGTGTTTAAGTCATTCGGAATCCGAATGCTCTATTGAAGAAGCTGTTAGAAACACAGCGAAACGCTCAGAAAAACTTTTGATTTTCTAAACACGCTGGGACTACATTAAAACTTACTTATTTAGTTGATACAATGTACAATCACACGCTTATAATGATTCAAGTATACGGAGAAAATTGATTCCTGTCGTATTCATATAACAAGTTATAAATTAACTGATTTCCAAACCGAATATTAGACTTAATAATCAACCAGGAGGAATTTTCCTTTCCAGCACCAAGTATCATCGCATCCTTAGAAGCATATTTTTATTCATTATCAACTGTCATCCTTTGTAGAACACAAACCTAGAAAACACTTTGTTCGATTCAGCTGAAACTCATGTTTTCACTTTAAGTCTAATCAATATCCTTTTACATTCTATCTCGGCATGTAATGTTAGCCGAAGTAGGATTGGCTTTTGATGCGCTTGTCAGTAGAACTTTAATCCCATATTCGTACTCATAACTCAACCAGAAGCCATTATAAAATTTATACAGAGATTATTAGGAAAATGAACTTGTGTATCAGTAGGTTAATCTTAGTGACATAACGTCATTTGGGAAAATATGACAACATGGAATTGTTGGTATACTCCTAATGTTAAGACAGACTACAACCTTAGGTATATATTCGTAACTACAGGAACAATTAGTCAAGTGATAGTTTCATATACCACTTAAAATGTTTTATCAAATCGAATGACACGGCTCTCTTGGCATTATTTATAAATCTGTGGAATAAAGCGAATACTAAGGTCTGAAATAGAACTGCAAATTCCTTTGAGTAATTAGGACACGAAATCTGTATCATTCGTAACTTAGTGATAAGTTTATGTGTACAATCTATTCCTAAAGGTCACCAGCAGTCGAAATAGCTTGTTGGCAAAATATCTAACTCTGGTAAGAAGCTATGGTTGTATTCGAATTATCCGTGGGATGCTTCATTAGGATCGTGGAGAAACCATATTGGTGAGAACCAACAAACATAATTTATTTCACGGGATTCTTACATCTAAAACTAATACATTAAAAGTATCAATTTAAGAGAATTATGAATTTTATTTAGATAGTTTCTTGGTAAGCGAGAAATGGAATAGAGAATCGTTAAGTCTAGGAAAAGTAATCGAAACCTTCAATTCTTGACGAAAACTGTTTACTGTATGCTTAAATAAGTATTATAAGACAATATATTAATTTTACGAATAAATAGTACTAAAATTCAAACACTCGTGAGTGAACTATAGTAGTAGTTCAGTATTGTCATCGAATTAGTACTTTTAAAAAAAAAGTCCATATAACTAATCAAGTCATCAAACAACAATTAAACACTAAAGTATATTTATGATGGGTGAGTAATATACTGTTAAATATGATATCAATTAGAAACTATTAAAAAACTCGGTTGTTAGTTTTATTGTTACAAAGATGGTATTCGTTCTTGGCATACATGAGATTGAATGGGAACGGTAATTCAAAGGTTTCTTTTATTTTATTCACTCGTCATGATCAAAATGACCCAGAATATAGACCCCAATTTTTAATCGTTGAACATCCAAACTTTACACTTCTGCATTCTTACTAACTAATATCTCACCAGGGAAGAATGATTCTATCAATGAATTGAAAATTGACTATTTTAAGGAGAAGAATATCAACACAACTGCCTATTCTAAAGTTCTGTAAATGATTTAATTAGAATGTTCCAGTGAAAGGGACCGAACAAACTAATAAAATTAACGATACTTTATCAATCGTTTCAGGTTAGACCACAGACAGACAGACAAAATCAACGTAGGATTTCGCACACAGGTGCATCGGCTCAAGTTGTCACACAGTAGGATACAAAGAACAGGTGGATAGATAAGGAGTGATGTCGAAGGAGACAAAGTAGTGTGGAAGAAAAAACAAAGGTTAGTGAATATTCAAGCGCCATTGTGACTGATTTTCAGCCATGTCACCAACAGTCAGTCCTTAACAACTCATTCCTTTCTTTTCGAGGACCCCAGCCAGGCATTCTACACCTACCAAACACGACTCAGATCAACAAATAGGGACTTCACTAACTGGTGCCACGTCTCGGTATGGCCACTCTCAACCTTCTTCCAACCTAATCCAACACCCCGTTGCATGATTCATCAAGGTAGGCGGTGGCTTGGCATGCGCAACACATGTTCAAGCAATCTCCGCCGATAAGGACTTGTCTGTCTTGTCTAATGCCTTTCGCCTGACCTAAATATTACTCACGTGAAGATTCCATCAAACACGAGCAATGCTGCAAAGACATCTATGATCAAAACTTGTAACCGCTTCGTGTCTTCTATTTTCAACAGCCATGTGTCAGCTGTATAGAAGAACAGAACGGACTGTAGGGCAGTATACTCGTTCTTTGATTGATGGTTGAATATCTCGCCAATCGGCACCACAGATTACATAAGTCGGTTAGACCACAGTGAAAAGGCGAAACACCTTTTTTCTTCGTGAGTCAACTAAAATACAAATTAATATATTTTTGAGATGAATGGGGATTTTTAATTTCGAAGTAATATTTATCATGGACTGACATCAGTTGGGGAAACATTGGAAATCTGGGAACACTGAACAGCTATTTCGTCCTAGTATGAGACTCCTCAGCAGTACGCAACCACGACCCGGTTGGGGATCGAACTCAGGACCTTCAGGTTTCACGGCGAACGCGTTAACCATTCAGCCGCTGAGTCGGTTTCCGGTGGTTCACACTTTCAAACTTCTGTCAATTCACGACGTAGCGCGACTATCACTCAAGGTTTTTAGTTAGCATCCGCTTCACTTCCGACTAGTTGACCCCACAGGTCACAGCTTTTGAAACCTGAAGGTCGTGAGTTCAGTCCCTAGCCGAGTCGTGGGTGCGTACTGCTGAGGAGTCCCATACTAGGACGAAACCGCTGTCCAATGCTCCCGGATTTTCAATTGTTCCCCCAAATGATATCATTCCATGATGAATACTTTTTCTAAAATACAAATTGTTGTATGATAGAAATTTATCACAGAAGTAGTTCCATTTAAGTTCGTTAATTGAATATGTATATCACGCAGTGAAACAGCACTATTTAGTGAATACAGTTTCAAACACAATTCACTGTTGATACTGAAATCAAGATAAC